AAAGTTTCCAGGCACCTGGCAAGTAGAAGCTAGACTTGGTATACCCTGGGACTTTTGATGAGAGGCCTCAGACCCAGCACTGGCACCGAGAGTGAACATATATCAATCTGGTGAACACCACTCGCTCCTGCCTGGTGTTGGCATGAGAACCTTCCTCATGCAACTCGAGTACCACAAGAGGCTCTTTCAGTAACTGAGCCTCACAGGCAGCCAGCAGGTGGAGACAGAAAGAGGCAGAGCTAGGGGAGCCTTGGGCCTTTTGCTGACCTGCCTCCAGACTCACTGCTGGTAGCAGCTGGACTTGGTTCTTCTCATGCACCTCAGGCCCAATAAAGGCAGCTACAAACTGTGGATCGCTTTGTAGCTCCAAACAGGTTGCCCACGCCCAGTCATAGGCAGTGTCTGATATTGGACCGCACCACAGTCCCTCCCAAGAGGCCCCAGAACCAAGATACCCAGTGGTGAACTTCAGACAACATCACAGTGGGATCTAGTTAGTTCCACAAGCATCATATTCAGAGGAAGATCTCGGCAGCACCAGACTGTGTTGGGCAAATTCTGCTTCGTATCATCAGCATCTGCACAGCAGCTTGTACACCTATGGTCAGGACTGATCCGCAGAGTCAGCCAATCTGAGAGTCAAACCCATGCATGAATGGGCCAATAGCAATCATGGCTCAATTACAACAGGAGGGTTCACATAACCCACACAAGGGATATTCCTGGAGAACCCAGCTCCAGTGATTAAAGAAGACTGTGCCACTAAATCCCAAAGGACACCTACTACAGAAGGCCACACTACCCAGATGTACCTAACACACAGAAACAAACACAAAGAGGCAGCCAATATGGGGAGACAAAGAAACAGGCCCAAAAAGAAAAAACAAAACAAACAAAAAAAAAAAACAGAAGAAATCTCCAGAGAAAGCTAAATGAAATGGAGGCAAGCAATTTACCAGAAAAAGAATTCAAAAGAATGGTTATAAGGATAATCAAAGAACTTAATGAGAACTACAAGGAACTTAGTGAGAGCTATGACAGCATGATAAAAAGACAAAGAAACCATAAAACAGAACCAGTCAGAAGTGGAGAATACCATATCTGAAATGAAGAATAAGTAGAAGGAATAAACAGCAGGTTGGATGAAGCAGAAGACTGAATCAGCGATTTGGAAGACAAGGTAGCAGAAAACACCCAATCAGAGCATCAAAAAGAAAAAAGAATTTTAAAAAATTAGCACAGTTTGCCCTGGCTGGTTTGACTCAGTGATTAGAGCGTCAGCCTGCAGACCAGAGACTCCCAGGTTCAGTTCCTGCTAAGGGCACGTACCTCAGTTGCAGTTTATCCCTGCCCCAGTTGGGTCGTGTGGGTGGCCACCACTCAATGTGTCTCTCTTGCATAGATGTTTCTCTCTCTCCCTTCCCCCCTCTCTCCCTACTGCTCTATCTGAAAATAAATGCAGGAATGTCCTCGGGTGAGAATAAAAAAAAAATGAGCAGAGTTTAAGGAACTGTTGGGACAATATGAAACATAACAACATCTTCAACATAGGGGTACCAGAAGAGAAGAGAGAGCAAGGGGTTGAGAACCTATTTGAAGAAATAATGATAGAAAAATTCCCTAACCTGGTGAAGGAAAAAGACATATAAGTCCAGGAAGCACAGAGAGTCACAAACAAGATGAACCCTAAGAGGCCCACATCAAGACACATCATTTTTAAAATGGCAAAGGTTAAGAACAAAGAGAGAATCTTAAAAGCACAGAGAGAAAGACAGTTAGTTACCTACAAGGGAGCTCCTATAAGACTGTCAGCTGATTTCTAAACAGAACCATTTCAGGCCAGAAGGGAGTAGAGGGAGAAGGAGAAGAGGAGGAAGAAGAGAAAACAATAAGAGAAAGAAGAAAAAAAAAAGAAAGAGAAAAGAGGGAAAAGAGGAGGAAGAGAAAGAACAGCAACAACAAAGGAACATAAGTAAAAGAATAAAAGGGTAATGAATAAATATCTATCAATAATCACTTTAAAACTGTCACCATTTGTAGATGACATGATGCTGTATATAGAGAACCCTAAATAATTCACCAAAAAGCCCTGGCCAGTTTGGCTCAGCAGTTGGAGCATCGGTCCACAGACCAGAGAGTCCCAGGTTCAGTTCCCACTAGAGGCATGTGCCTCAGTTGCAGTTTGTCCCTGGCCCTGGTTGACGTCATGTGGGTGGCAACCAGTCGATGTGTCTCTCTCACACGATGTTTCTCTTTCTGTCTTCCCCCACCTCCCTCACACTCTATCTGAAGATAAATGCAAAAAAAAAAAAAGACACAATTAAGTGGAAGCATATACCATGTTCATGGATAGGGAGAATTAACATCACTAAAATGTCCATAGTACTACCAAAAGCAATGTGTAGATCCAACACAATTCCTGTCAAGATACCAAGTGTATCTTGGTACTTCACAGAACTACAACAAATGTTCCAAAAATGTATATAGAACCACAAAAGAGCTCAAATAATAATAGCAATCTTGGGGAAAAAAGAACAAAATTGGAGGAATCATGCTACCTGATATCCAATTATACTACAAAGCCATAGTAACCAAAATAGCATGGTACTGGCATAAAAACAGACATAGAGATCAATGGAACAGAACAGAAAGTGCAAAAATAAGCCCATTCTTTATGGTCAGTTAACATATGACAAGGAGACAAGAACACACAATGGGGTAAAGACAGTCTATTCAATAAATGGTGTTGGGCCCTGGCCAGTTTGGCTCAGTGGTTAGAGCGTTATCCTGCAGACCTGAGGGACCCGGGTTCAGTTCCTGCTAAGGGCACGTATTTCGGTGGCAGTTTGCCCCTGGCCCCAGTTGGGGTAGTGTGGGTAGCGACAGTCTATGAGTCTTTCTCACATCGATGTTTCTCGCTCTCTCTCCCTCCCTCTCTATCTGATGATAAATGCAAAAATGTCTTTGCATGAGGATTAAAAAAATAAATAAATAAATGGTGTTGGGAAAACTGGAGAATGAACACAAAATAGATTAGGGACTTAAATGTAAGACTTGAAACCATAAAAATCCTAGGAGAAAACATAGGCGGTAAAATCTCAGACATTTCTCACAGCAATATTTTATTCTGATATGTCTCCTCGGGCGAGGGAAACAAAAGGAAAAGTAAAGAAATGGGACTACATCCAACTGAAAAGTTTTTGTTCAGAGAAGGAAACCATCAACAAAATGAAAATATAACCACTGAATGTGATAACATATTTGCCAATAATACATTTGATGAAAGGTTAATATCCAAAATTTATAAAGAACTTATACAACTCAACACCAAAAAAACAAACAGTTCAATTAAGAAAGCAGCACAGGACTTGAATAGATACTTCTTCAAAGAGGATAGACAGATGGCCAATAGACACATAAAAAGATGCTCAAGGTCACTAATCATCAGAGAGATGCAAATTAAAACCACAATGAGACATCACTTCCCACCTGTCAGAATGGCTGCCATGAATACATCAACAAAGTGTCAGTGAGGATGTGGAGAAAAGGGAACCCTCGTGCCCTGTTGGTGAGGATGCATTTTGGAGGGTCCTCAAAAAATTAAAAATGGACCTGCCTTATGACCTAGCGATTCCATGTTGGGAACAGATCCAAAGAAACCAGAAACACTGACTGAAAAGAATATATGCACCCCTGTGTTCATGGCAGCGTTATGTACAATAGCCAAGACTTGAGAGCAGCCCAAGTGTCCATCCACGGATACGTGGATAAAAAAACTGTGGTCCATTTACACAGTGGAATCCTACTCAGCCATAAAAAAGAAGGAAATCTTACCTTTTGCAAAAGCATAGATGGACCTGGAGATTGTTATGCTAAATGAAGTAGGCCAGTCAGAGAGACATATACCGTATGATTTCACTCATATGTGGAATCTAACGACTAAAATAAACTAACAAACAAACTAGAAGCAGACTCAGAGAGAACAGACGGACCGCTGTCAGAAGGCAGCAGTTGGGGGCCGGGTGAAAAAGGTGAAGGGATGAAGACAGAACGAACTCACAGACACAGACGACAGTATGGTGGTCACCAGAGGGAACCAGAGGAGGAGAGAGGGAAAGTGGGGAGCAATGGTGAGGGGAGACGTGCCTTTGGGTGGTGAACATACAATACAATACACAGAGAACATATTATAATCGTACACTTGAAGCCGATGTAATTTTATTAACCAATGTCACCCCCAATGAATTCAATAAACATTCAAAACTTAAAAAAATAAATAAAAGCGTATGGATTGTTTGCGTCTGGGATTTCCCTCTAATAGTCTGGACCACCGCGGACGACGGTACCTGAGAACTCGGAAAATGAAACTGGAGAAGGAGAACTACTGCTCCGCCCGCTAGGTCAGGTTACATAATCAGCAGCTTGGCCCTGCCGGCTCACAGGGAGTTAAACCTTAAGTCTGCTTAAGTGATTATTTTCAGCCTCTCAAGGGACCACAAGAATCAGGACTTCACCGAAAGCCCAAGGCAAGCTTGCTGCACCTGTGCACACGGGGCCATCAAGGTCCGAGTGTCAGTCTCGACATTACAAGGGAGTTCCCACCCCACAAACAAGCAGAACCAGCAGGCACCCCTGCAGGGCCACACGGCGGAGGGTAGGGCGTCGGGAGCTGCACGATGACACTGGCAAGAACAGGTACTGGCAAAGCCCTTTAGCACACACATGTGCAGCTCAGGTGTGGCCCCTGCAGAGCAAAGGTGACCAGCAGCCCCGAGCCAAAGTGCTCCCTGACCTGGCTCACTGGGCAGACGTCCGGGGAGGAACACAGCCCGCCTCCAGGCGGCTCTGGGCCTCAGGGTAACAGTGCGCGCCCGTCCCTTGCCCGTAGCTGGGCACACAGCCCCGGCCGGCGAGCCGTGAGCACGAGTCACGCCAGGCGATGCCCGGGTCAGAGCCACGCTGTAGCCAGGCAGCAGGACTGGCGCTCTGGCTGTTCCTACCTGGGCCGGCTTCGGGCTTCAGGGAGCTCGGAGGAAGTGGGGGCGAGGATTCGGGGGCCTCTGCAGCTGGGTGTTCAGCCACCGGACAGATGATGAACCACCTCTTCCCGGTGTGCAGGACTGCAGGGCAGGACAAGAGCAGCTGGTGAGGGCAAGCTCGTGTCTCCGCGGGGCCCTCACTGCTGGCACCAGACTCGCCACAGATGCCCTGAAGGATCTGCCTCACCCAGGGAGGGGTGTGCACCCGCTCACGGAGCCCTGACAAGCACCCCCAACAATGGCTTAGCTCCCAGGACGCCCGAGGCACGGAAGGCAAGGCCGGCTGGGGACTAGCAGGCAGGGGGTTCATGCCATGCTCAGGCGACACCTGGGCCAGACGGGGAGGACATCTGTGAGGGACGGGAGGTCAGCACCCAGTCCAGCAACCCCCGTGAGATGGCCTACCCCTAATAATACACTCAATGGGGCTCTTATCAAAAGCCTGCTGCAGACAAGGGACACGGACAGAAACGCCTCCTCTAAGGTGAGTCTGGTGGGGGGTGGCCTAGGAGGCAGACGTACCGTTCTGTTGATACACTGGGGCATTTGCTTGGGACTGGCGACTCTCCTGAGGGAGGTAAAGGGTCAGAAATGAGTAGACGGCATGGACAGAGAGCTGGGAGCACACAGAAGCCTCAGAGCCTCTGAGAGCCGAGGCCCGAGGGCCCGGTATTTCCAAGGAAGCTGAAGGTGCCCTGCTCCGGGCCACTTCGCCCAGCGCTGCACACCCCGCAGGCTCCCCGAACAGGCAGGCAGCCTCCCAGAGCTGTCCTCGGGGCCTGCAGCTGGGGATGAGCGGGCCCTGGCCCCCCAGGACCCAGCATCCCAGCTCACCTCTCCGGCACCCAGGCTGCAGGTGCTCAGGGGCGGCGGGCTGGCCCCAGTGTCGGAGCCATGGTCCACGTCCGTGTCCTCACTGAGCATGTCCTCCGCCTTGTCCATGACGTCCTTCATCTGCTCAATGAACGTTTCCCGCTCGGCCGGCAGGATGAAGTCGTGCTCCACCTGCGGCGGCACACACAGCCAGGCTGCACTTGCGGGTTTGCTTGGTCTCTGCTCTGTCCTAAACCCCTCGGGGAGACGCGGCAGGGCTGGCCCCAGAGCCCAGGGCTGCACGGTCAGCAAGAGGGGCCACGGCTGGAGCAGCAGCCCGCCGGGTGCCCGGTGCGGGCAGTCACCTGCTGGAGCTGCAGGACAGGAAGGGCTGGCGGCCAAGTGCCCGAAGGACACAGAGGAGACAGCCTACCCAAGAGAAGTGCCCTCCAGTCCACCGGACAGACACCCACTCACCATGTAGGTGGCAATCTCGTCGGGCGCATCCCCGTCCAGGTCGAACTTGAACGTGACCATTTTGTGGTTGTGCGTCTCCAGTTGGCACTCCACCATCTTGTCGCCCGTGTTGCACACCTAGGGACAGAGGTGATGAGAGCCGGAGGAGATGGGCCCAGGGCCCTGCCCCCACCCTCCACGCCTGTGGCTCACGTTCAGGATGGTCAGCCGGGGTCGGCTGGCCCTCTCCTGGCGGGAGCGTGTGCGCGTGGACCGGCGGTGGTGTCTCCGGGCAGGCTTGCCGTCCAGCTTCCCGCCCCCGAAGGTGCCTTCGCAGCTGTCACTCAGCTCCCTTCCGGAAGTGGCATCAGACCCTCCGTAGCTGTTGGGAAACCAGGGATGTTCCCGCGCCCACGAAAATGACCTGCAAACTGTCCTTACTCGGGAAGCTTAGCTTTTCAGGAAACAGCCAGAGGCGCTGGCGTGTGCCCAGCCAGAGAACCCTGAGCAGCCACGTGTGCCCAGCAGAGAAATCCCGGGACCTGCAACCCCTCCCCCGTCCTGGGCAGCCCGGAGGCTGGGGAGGCCATGGGCTCTCGGGGCCAGCACCTTGGTCCTCGTGGCCTCGTGGCCCGTTAAGGCCCAGCGATCTCGTGGTAAACATCAAAATTAAGAAACAACCCTCACCGGTGCCTCACTTTCCCTTTCTGTGCACAAGGACATGCCAACCACAGGGGGTGGTTGCCAGGACTGAGGACCTGCAGAGCAGCAAGCTTGTGGCTGACACACCGGGAGGGAGGACACGGTCCCTCTCCACACTCAGTGTGCCCAGGACCAGGAGACTGCAGGGAGACGGGGTGTGCCCAGGCCTCCTGGTCCCCGCCCAGCCCCGGACCTGGAGAGCCCTCAGCACACAACCAGCGCCAAGCCCCAGAACGTGCCCGGAGCATCAGACAACCCATCTCAGGGAGCGCGGACACCGACCCCAGAGGAGCTCCCTGAGGCTCCGCTGAGGTCAGGAGAAGCCCGGACACAGGGCGGGGAGCTAGATGGGGTCCCCCGACAGCCCCACCCCAGCTGCGCCATTACCTCTCACAGCTCTGCAGGGTGCCAGGCTGCTTGTCCTGGGAGGCCTGCTCCTGAAATACAACCATGGAGAGGAGGGTGGGCCAGGCCCCTCCCCCACAGCACCCCGCAGGCTGCCCAGCCCAGCCACGCCCGCTCCCTCTGCCTTTGCCAGCAGACCGCACAGGGCAGCGGGCCTGAGGGTTTTCTCTTGCTGGAGCCAAGCAGATTCCTAAAAGCGGACCCTCCCCTTCCACACACTAACCCACTCTGATCATCCTCACAAGGAAGCACAGGCCCAGGAAGGCTCCTCACAGGCCTCACCGTCACTTCCAAGGGAAAGTCCCCGAAATCTACGTGTAAAAGGAGTATCACACCTTCCCCTGGAAATGCACTGAAGGGAAGGGACACCTGGGGCCAGCGGAGAGAGGGCCCAGGTCTGTCCCAAGGCCCAGGACTCACTCCAGCTTCCCCGCTTCTAGGGCTGAGACCCAGCACAGGGGCCAGGTAGCAGGGGGACATGCTGGGGGGCACACACCTCCGGAGCCAACTCCACAGTCAGCTGGACAGCTGGGCAGGGGCTGGAGGCCCCAGGCCCCCTGGGCAGCGGCAGGCTAGCAGGTGGCAACGCGGCGGTCTGGACAGGCCAGCCCTGAGGAGCAGCCAGCACCGTGGGGGCCAGGGAGCTGGGGGGCTGAGGCGGGAGCTCGGGGGCGCTGGGCGGCAGCACTTCGGGCGGAGGTGGGGAGAGGACGGCGGCGGGAGCGGGCACCGCGGGCACCTGGGCAGGGACGTCCACAGCGTAGGGAGGCGGGTGGCCCAGCAGGATCTGCGGGCACAGAAGACGGGCAGCAGGCTGAGGTGCCAGCGCCACCCCTGAGGGCCCTGGGCATCCTGGCACAGCGGGCGCTCCCGGTCCCCGCGAGCGGCGCATGTGGGGTGCGGTGCTGAGGTGTCCCTGTCTAAGGCACCCACTCCTGCCACAGGCAAGTCCCGGCCTGAGAACACGTGTATAGACTTAGAGAACAAACACACAAAAAGCAGTCTCGAGTTCCCACCTGGGAAAACCTCCCCTGAAACCACACTTCCCTCATGCGCGTCTGGCTGAGCCCGAGCTCGAGGCCTGGACCCAGCCCTGGACCCTGCCTCCTGAGGGAGGAGCTCTGGGCGCTGACCTTCCTCGGCGGCCTGGAGCCAGGCCTGACCCCCCGTTCCCTCTCAGTGGGGCCCGGCTGGTGTGGCTCAGCGGTTGAGCATAGACCCTGCACCAAGAGGTTGTTGGTTCGATTCCCAGTCAGGGCACATGCCCAGGTTGTGGGCCCATCCCCAGTGGGGGCATGCAGGAGGCGGCCAGTCAATGTTTTCTCTCATCGATGTTTCTCTCTCTCCCTACCCCTTCCTCTCTCTCTAAAATCAATAAAGAAAAGAAATATTTCTTAAAAAGAAAAAAGTGTCCCCAGGCAAAGGCTGTTGAGATTTAGGGCCAGGTGGGAGGGCACTCAGGTGAGAAGCACCTCAGGTAAGAAGTTGCCCAGGTGAGAAGCCCCCAGGTGAGGAGCCCCCAGGTGAGAATTCCCCCAGGTGAGAATTCCCCCAGGTGAGAAGCCCCCATGTGAGAAGCCCCCAGGTGAGAAGCCCCCCAGGTGAGAAGCCCCCCGGGTGAGAAGTTGCCCAGGTGAGAAGCCCCCAGGTGAGAAGCCCCCCAAGTGAGAAGCCCCCAGGTGAGAAGCCCCCATGTGAGAAGCCCCCAGGTGAGAAGCCCCCAGGTGAGAAGCCCCCCAAGTGAGAAGCCCCCAGGTGAGAAGCCCCCCAGGTGAGAAGCCCCCAGGTGAGAAGCCCCCAGGCCACCCTCTCCTCACAGGGTGGGTGGCAGCCCTGGGCTCTACATGCCGGGCCATGTAGGGATGTGGAACCCCTGGGGGGGGAGGCTTGCCCCCGCCAGCACGGTGCATCTCCCCGAGTCCCTCCACTGTCCGCTGGGGAGCTGCCTGAGAGGTCCCCCTGACTCCGGGGCATCATCCTCATCTGCCATGACCACCTTGGAACCAGCAGCCTGGACCACAACTGACAGACCCCGGAACCCCGGTGCCCCGTCCCCCTGCTGACGGGTTATCCACCTACCGCGTTTTGACAGGTGACAAGAGGGGCAGTGTGAGCCCCCCGGTACCCACAGAGGGGCTGACAGAGCTCCTTGGAGGCTGCCAGGCCCCACCTAGGTGAGGGCAGGTGCCATGGCATCTAGCACGCCTGGGAACCCCCCACGAGCAGCTGCTACGGAGCCCCCGGGAAGGGCCCACAGTGGAACCTTTGGCTCCTGACATGTGCTGGGGGTGGGAGGAGGCAGCAGACACCCCCAGGATGAGAAGCCAAGCCTGTGGGACGTGCTGCTTGCCCGCCTGAGCCCACTCTGCCCCCCGCCTCCAGCCAGGGGCGGAGAAGGAGCGGAGCCCACAGACCCTTGGCATCTCCGGGTACGAAGGGCTCTTCCGAGGCCTGGAGAACAGGTGATGCCGGCAGGTGGATTACCTGGCTCCCCACCGTGGGGGCCGAAGCAGTCTGCTCAGGAAGGTGGGCGACGCTTGGCTGGTGGGGCTGCGGCAGCACAGGGGGGGCCGGCTGCAGAGGGGTGGCCCTCACGGTCTGTGCCGTGTGGAGGGGAGAAGGTGGGATGTCGCCGGGTACCATCTGTGGGAAGGCGGCCTGGTATATAGGCTGGGCCGGCAGCGGGGCCATGGCAGGATGGATGGACAGGGCGGCCACGCCCTGAGGGGCCACGGCCAGCAGAGGGATGGCGGTGGCAGTGGCCGCCACATTTGGCACGATGGTCCGGCATGGCACGGCCAGCGGTGCCCCAGCGGGGTGGGGGAGCTGGACCGTCTGCAGAGGCAGGGCCGGCGACGCAGGCAGGGGGGCGGTGGCACCGAGCGGGAGGCTCGGCAAGATGACAGCAGGAGAGAAATACTGAGAGGGCGGAGGCACCGCAGGCCCACTGGCAGCCGGCAGGTCGGGGAGGGCAGAGGGGAGGCTGTCGACCGCGGCCAGCGGAGCGAGAGGCGGGATGACAGGGAGCGGAGGCATCTGAAAGAGACACAGCCCATCAGCCTGGCTGGAGGCGCACGGCCGGCCGGACAGCAAGGCCCCCGCAGGTTCTGCCAGAGACACGTCTGTGCGGCGGCTGCCGAGAGGACCAGAAAGGAACCCATTTCACAGGGACCCAGGACAGGTCGGCCAGACGAGGACAGGCAGAGGGCGCTGTGGGGGCCCTTGGGCGTCACCGTGGAGGCGGGGCAGCTCAGGTTCCGGGGCGCACAGCAGCGACCCCAGCTTTGGTTTTCCTTCACAAAGGTTAGGGCACCCTGGACGGTTGCTCAGCGGTTAGAGCTTCGGCCCGCAGACCAAAGAGTCTCGGGTTCGATTCCCAGTCAAGGGCATGTACCTGGGTTGCAGGTTCGATCCCCAGCCCCAGTTAGGGTCGTGCTGGAGGCAACCGATTGATGTGTCTCTCTCATGTCGATGTTTCTCTCTCCCTTCCTACCTCCCACTCTATCTAAAAATCAATGGGAAAGTATCCTCAGGTGAGGATTAAAACAAAAAGAAGGTCAGGATGGTCAGAGCCACCAGGCAGGCCCCAAACATCTGAAATTACTTTGCCTGACTCCCCGACCTGTGTAACTTCTGACAGACCAATTCTTTGTCGGGGCCTGTTGGGGAGAGCATACGCCGAGTCCCCTGTTGGCCGTGCCGTGAGGACTGGGGAGGACGGCCTCTCCCCACAGTGGGAGCCCCCAACCCTTCTGGTCAGAGACCCCCAGTATCTGACCGCGTGGAATCCACACTGGGAACACTGCAGACGGTTCTCTGACAGTTTTCTCTCTAACACTTTCACCTGGCGGGATGAAGTGTTTTAAACTACGCAGTACTGACCATCAATCCAGGGGCATGGACCACTTCCCCCCTAGACTGTCACATAAAACAATGACAACAGCCTACACAGTAATAGCCAACTGGTGTACACAAATCAAAATTATGACTATTTTTGTCAGACCGGCAAACAATGTCCTATGTGCCGCGCCGCGGGGTAGAGGGCACAAGGGCGCGAGGGCCAGGCCTGCTGGCGGCAGGCACGCGGTGTCGCATCAGCAGCGCCTCCGGTTCTCAGGCAGGGAGGGCGCCGACCGGCTCCCGTGTGTTGGAACCAGCTGAGTTCCGTGGCCACCAAGCAAGGCGGCGGTTTTGCTGGATGGTGAGTCGACTGACAGGGCGTGACGAGGACGAGAGCGGGTGTGGGTGACAGCTGACAGGTAAGAACTTCGGGGTTGAGGGGTGAGCCTGGGGGACACGCACGCCTTCCACAGGAAGCAGCACTTCCCACCGTAGCCCCGGGACACAGCGTGAGGTGGAAGCTGTCCCCATACTGGCCATGACATGAGCCCAGGCTCCTGGGCACCAACCACACGCTGTCAGGTGTCACAGGCAACATGATGTCTGACCCCGCCCCAAGGAGCCACAGTCAACACGGCCTCAGATGGCTGGATGGACAGACAGTGGCCGCAGCTGCGGACTCACAGCCCTGCCCTGGCTCCTCCTCATCCAGACGCACCTGAGACAGACACACAGGCCGGCAGCACCAAAGCCCCACGAGGGAGGAGGCTGGAGGACAGGAGGGCGAGGTAGGTACCTGTGGAGGGACCTGGGTGAGTGGCTGCAGGGGCGCTGGCGGCATCTGGACGGGCTTCGGCGGCACTGGGGCCACCTGGGAGGTGGGAGGCAGGTATGGAGGCAGGTGTGGGGGCACCGGCTGAAGAGGGCCCACAGGCTTTGGGGCCAGGACCTGTGGCAGGGGTGCTGGCTGGGCCAGTGGAGGAGGCTGCAGGAGAAGGGGCTTCTCTTAGACCAGTGTCCTTCCAAGAGACGCCCCAGGTACTTAGACATGACAGAAAATCAGTGAGCATGAGCACATGCATGTACATGCATGCATACCCACCCCACAGACATGTGCACACCCCACACATGTGCACACATACCCACAAGCATGCATGCACACAGACATGCACACCCCCTCTCACACACATGTGCACCCATATGCATGCATACCCACACACACACATGTGCACCCATATGCATGCATACCCACACACACATGTGTGCACACATATGCACACATGCAGGCATGCACACCCACATGCATGCATGCCCTCACGTGTGCCCATGCACATGCATACACACCCACACATGCACATTTGCATGCATGTGCATGCACTCACACGTGCACACACACATCTACCCGTACACACATGCATGCATGCCCTCATGTGTGCCCATGCACATGCATACACAGCTACACATACACATTTGCATGCACGTGCATGTGCACACACGTGCACACACATGTGCGTGCGCATGCATGCATACCCATCCACACACATGTGCACACACACCTCCACACATGCATGCATGCCCTCACACATGCACACACACATGTGCACATGAATACATACCCACACATGTGCACACACACGCATGCACACCCAGCAGGGAGCCCAGGATGCACAGCTCTTTGAGAACTGCTGTGTGTGAATGAGGCCCTCCAAGTGCTGTGGGACTTCATTCCACAAACACAAGTGACCCCCCCTCCACCAGCACGCTGGGCTGGGACCTGGCTGGCAGGGGAGACGGAGGCCTGGAGGAGGCGCAGCCCACTCACCTGGTGTCCCGAGGGCATAGGCAAGGCGGGGCCAGTCAGCACAGGGGCAAAGCTGGTGGCAGGCTCCGGGAAATGCTGCGGCGGGAGCGAGGTACGGGTGGGGGGTGGAACAGAGCCCACCGACAGGCCAGGCTGCAGAGAGTGCCGGGGGCACGCTCAGTGGCTGCCCCAGGACCCCCCAGCCACGAGCTTGACGGCCACAGAGAGCCATCTCACCCCTGCCCACTGTCCTGCCAGGGACCGTTTCCCAGGAACAGACTCGCAGAAGCAAGGAGTGGGCCCCTACACTGAGACCAGCCACAACGCTCACCAAGGCATGTTCTGCCGCCAGTCCACCGACCGCCACGCAGCCACGAGAAAAGACCACTACAACTTTGTGGCGTCATGGAGAAATGTGTGTTCTGACAGCAGTGCAAATGCTTGTTGTCCACAGGACAGTCTGACACACACACTTGTGTGCACACGGCAGACACGGAAACAGCGACCACACCTGCGCAGCGGAGTTTCCAGAGCTCGGTCAGGAAAACGGGACCACGGGCGGAGCCCTCACTGGGGGCCAGGGCGGAGACAAGGGGTATGGTCAGAGACCCCTCCCCATGGGATGCCGGTCAAAACCGCTGCCCACTGGCTCATTTTTAGGTACCATCAGGGCGTTGGGTTTTGTTTTGAAAGTCTCGATCCTGCAGAGAGACAGACTGACATACTTATGGGCAAAAGATCTTTCTGTTTGGGATTTACTTCGAAATAAGGGGAAGCGAGGAGCAGTGGGGGGGGGGGGGGGATGGAGGAAGCAGGAAAGAGCTCGGCTATCACCGCCAAGGGAGATCGCTCTCACTGAGCTTCTCTGGATGGGTCATGGGACAGTCCCTGGTCATCTGAACCTGCCATCAGTCATTCCGTCTTCCACAGTGAAGACACTGTGCAAGGCAGCATGGTGGGCGACCCCTGTCTTGTGCATTCACCAGCAGCCAGGGTGAGACAAGGGGCCATGCACCTGCTCCTCCAGCCGCACCCCGAGTGGCTCTGCCCCCAACCCTCCGCCCTATTCTCCTCCTTCACTGGGTTTCAAGGGCACGTCACCACCATCACCCTCCCTAGGACAGCCGAGTACACCCTGGGGGCCCCTCCGATGCCCACCTCCGTCCAGGCTGTTTCTGCATAAATAGGCAAGACCTGGGAGAGCACTCCCGGGCCTCAGGGCTCCCTCTCCCTCGGGGCCACCCACTGCCCACTCCAAGGGGCTAGGGCTGGGAAGGAACATCTGCTTCTCCTTCTTTAGCATCGAGATCAAAATAAAAAATAAACGCCAACTGTGACCCCCTCAGAGAGCCATTTCCACTTCCTCTACCAGGCTTACAAATCATTCCTCAGCCATAAGCACGACGCCCTTTTGATCCCGCTTCCCAAGGTCACTGAGAACGTTTCTCACGACAGCCACTCCCACACCTGGGACCTGCAGCGGCCACGGCACACCCAGCAGAGGGCCGCGGCCCCAGCGATGCTGGACACTCAAACCTGCCCCGGCACCCGGCAGCACGGGGCCCGCCAGCGACCACAGCTTTGCAAGCCGGGCTGTCGCTGGGCTCTGCCTGCACGTTCTCATCTGCCGGCCTCCCAGGGTCGGTCACAGGCCGCTGCAGCCCGCAGCCCTGCAGCCCTGCAGCCCTGACGAGGACGGACCGTCTGGGCACCTGCCTTTGCATGGCCAGCGCAGCCTGGACGGCCGGTCAGACCCCCGGCTGTGGGGACAGGGCCCCTGTGGCCAGCGCAGCCTAGACGGCCGGTCAGACCCCCGGCTGTGGGGACAGGGCCCCTGCGGTCAGCGCAGCCTAGACGGCCGGTCAGACCCCTGGCTGTGGGGACAGGGCCCCTGCGGCCAGCGCAGCCTAGACGGCCTGTCAGACCCCGGCTGTGGGGACAGGGCCCCTGTGGCCAGCGCAGCCTAGACGGCCTGTCAGACCCCGGCTGTGGGGACAGGGCCCCTGCGGCCAGCGCAGCCTAGACGGCCGGTCAGACCCCCGGCTGTGGGGACAGGGTCCCTGTGGCCAGCGCAGCCTAGACGGCCTGTCAGACTCCGGCTGTGGGGACAGGGCCCCTGTGGGAGGACCGAGCGGACTCACCGTGGCAGGATGCTGGTGGGCCCCCAGGGAGGGCAGGCTGTGCGACAGGACAGGCCCCTCACCTGCGCTGACCGGGGGGCTGCACACGTTCTGGGCGGCGAGCGGGGCCGCGTCCGCCAGCGAGCCCAGCACCACGCTCTGCTGGCTGCTCTGCGAGTCCGAGTACACGGTGGAGCCCTGGCCGCTGTCAAAGGTGCTGTCCGCTGCGGAGGCAAAGGCATGGCTCAGAGCGGGTTCCCCGGCACCCCACAGCATTCCACCCGAGGCCCGGGGGACCCCGGTGTGGGCCACGCAGGGACGCTCCGCCCGCCCACGCGGTCTCTTCTGTAGAACAAAGGCTGGTTGTTTCCAGATCACGTAAATAATGACAGTGGTCACTCTACAGTCAATACGGAGCAGGGCGGGGGGCAAACTGCACCACCCAGACACGGCCCTGGCCGCCCACACTGCTTGACACCCTAGGAGGCTGCCACGGGCCACCCCATTTCCCAGGGGGCTCCTCACACCGTCTTCACAAGCTGCTTCCACCCTGGCTGAGACGGGGACCTCACAGGGCACCCAACCTGGCCTTGACAGTGAGCCCTGCCCATTTCTGCAAAGGCACAGGAGCCCTGGGGGCTCCGGTCTACTGTCACCGGTGTGTGATGATGGGGGGCGGGGTCCCGAGACCCCGACCACCTTCAGTGGAAGAGTCTGCAGCGGGGCATCTGGTCCATCGCCGGCCTCTCAAGGCACAGGCTGGGTCCACCTGGGCTGGAACACGGGCTGACCTGCCTCCACCCCGTACGGACGCCATGAGAGGGACCCGGGCTCCTCGCCTGCCCCCACTCAGCCCCTCACGGCAGCCAGACTGCCCAGGGGACGAGCTGCCACATCTGGGGAGGGCAGAGGAGGGAGCAGACCGCACCCACGGGGCCCGGCTCATGGGAAGACAGGTGGCCGCGGCTGTGCCAGCAACACATCTTTTAAAGTGTGTGTAGTGTTTTTCCTACAAAAAGTGTATGCGCTTCAGTGGATTCTTTTGGTTTATCAGCAAGCAGGACGGGAGGTGACAGCAGTTTGATTCTCCGAAACCAACTGGCGCGGCTTGGGAAAAAGGAGACAGCAAGCAATGTCTCCAAGTGCCCGGGCCGTGGCTCTCGTTTCAAGAGCCTACTCTGGAAAACATCCGGCTGCCGTTCTGGTGGTCAGTGCAGGAGGGCCCAGCAATGCATCGAGCAGGGCTTTGGCCCTTCCGCTGGCACAGCTGGAAGCAGCGGCCAGGGCCGGCTGGCGGCTCTGCAGCTCGCTGCGGTCTTCCAGACACCAGGCCACAGCCTCCATAGGCTCAGGGGGCCCTTTTGGGACACTGAGGGCAACGGCGGACACGTTTCTGCCTGGACGCGCAGACACTGGCTCTCTCCTCCAGCGGTCTGAGACGAAGCCAGACACAGAGTAATGCCACTGCCCACTGGTACACCCCTGGGAAAGGGGCAGAGGGTCTCGGAGGTGCAACACTAGAAGGCCAATCCTCGTGCGGATGGACGCCCCTAGAGACAAAGTTCACAGCAGCAGGGCTCCTCAACCTTTGGCCACTGGCAGCCCCAGGACCACATGTCCCAGCACAGACGTCCCCCCAGGCGCTGAGCCCAGGGTGAGAAGCAAGGCTCAGGAGCCCCCCGCTGCTGGGACCATACCCTCTGGGGTGGGTCAGTGGCCGATGGAGCTGCAACATCCCTACACACGCTGGGTCTCCCTGCACACTCCTCCCCACCTGTCCTGAGAAGCGGGAGTTCAGCGAGCCTTAGACCTCCCGGGCCACAGATCTCTGTGCCGTCAGGGATGCTCCCAGCGCCCCCGGAAGAACACGCCGCACCACCCCCACTCCCGCAGAGAGCGCGGGAGGCAGCACTCACAGGCCAGCGAGGTGGCACTGGCGGGCAGCGCCGTGGGGAGGAGGTGCTGATCCGCCTCGGGCTCCTCGGGCTCCGGGGGCCCGGCCTGCGCACGGTAGGTCACCTGGACCTGCAGGGGCACGTGCAGGCCCCTGGCCTTGTCGGGGCTGCCCGGGTCCGGCGGCTCCTGCGGCTGCAGCGCCGGCCAGATCCTCTCCCGCCGCCACTGGATCAAGGCCACGCGGTCGCGGATGGACTTGGCCACTATCTTCACATCGCTCTCGTGGAAGAAGCCAGACTCGATCTGCAAAGGAAGTCACCTGTCGTCTCCGCGACCGTCCCCGCCTGCACATCCCACCGCCACCCCCGATCACGGCGCCTCTGCCGAGTCCCCTTAGGCCCCTCACTCCCTCCTTCAGGGACGCTCTCGTCACCCCGTAGGGAGGCAACTTCCAGCCACGACCATAACTCCGCAGGGAGGGGACCTCTGAGCCTGCACCAGCACAGCTGGGACTGAGGGAGCAGACCCTGGCCTGCCCCCCACCCGGACAGCCCGTCATGCCAACACTCGAGCTGCCGGGAGCCCCGCGCCCAGGCCGCCCGGGTGGGAAGGTGCTCCTGGCCGAGTGTGGGTGCTCGGGGACAGGCGGCGTCCGTGGCCAGCGGCGTCCTCAGCTCCCACTCTCCGTGGAGCCGTGGAGGCCGGAGAGAGGCGCGTTCTGTAGCCTGAGACCAGGAAGGTGGGCACCGTGCCTGGCGACCTCACGGCCCTGAGGTACCCGAGTGTCGGACGGCGTCTGTGAAGGCGCCGAGGCCCCCGGGACATATCACGGCTCTGTCCACGGAGATGCGTGGCCCAACCACAGAACAGGGGAAGCAGGCTCCTCGCCATCACCGTGGCATCCCCGTGAGGAAGGGGGAGAAGCAGAGAAGAACCCCTGCAGTGCTGGCCGGGAACCGTGTGAACCCGCAGATTTCCACGTACAACAGTCACACACGCAAATGTTGCCACGAGTACACGCGTGTGTGTGCATGTGACTGACAGCACACGCATGCTGGCTCTCGGGCACTGAGGGGGGCTTCCACGAAACAGCGGGTCCAGGTCAGCAGGAGGAGGACAAGGAGGCCTGGGTGTCTCCCTCTGCCGCAACGGGAGGTCGTGTGTGGAGAAGGCAGGAGCCGCCCAGGGCTGCCCAGGGTGCATCTGGGACGCTGAGCACCAAGAGGCACAGAGCTGCCCTGGGGGCACAAGGCTACGTCCTCAGACGCATGCCGGAGGATCACAGGGACCACACGGCAGGACTGTCCTTCCGGTACGCGGTCCCACAAAGGGGGCCACACACCTGCACGCCGTCTGTCTCTCCCGTCCCTCTCCTTCTGTCTCCGTCTCTCTCTGTGCCTGTCTGTTTCTGAGTCGGTCTGTCTCACTGTCTGTCGGTCTCTCAGCCCCTCAGTGTCTCTGTCTGTGTCTCTCCCTCCTGTAGGTCACTGGCTCCCACGAAGCCACATCATGCATCCACCTGGCTAGAAACTCAGTGTCCCACCAGCAGCAGGTGAGTGAGCTCAGCTGCGGATCCCCAGCCCTAATGAGCCCCACCAGCCAAGCTCAGCCCTGGCCGACACCCAGCCACACTCACGAGGGGCCCCGATCCCACATCGCCTGCTAAGCCACTCCTGACACTAGGGGGACAGTGTGAGCACAGCACGAAGCTGGGTCACTTGCAACACGGTGACAGGTACCTCACCAACGGAGCCTACAACCCAGTGAATGAAACCAAACAGCCCACAGACACAGGAACAGATAGAAAATCTGGGGGAACCAGGACATCCGCATGGTCCCAAAGTCCCTCCCACAGAGTTAATTAGCACTGCATTCCTGACCCCTGGAGCCGCCCTGGGCCATGTGACCACGGGGAAGCCCCTGGTGGGCGGGGCCCAGGGACAGGGCAGGCTGGCCGCACCCTCCACCGCAGGACCCCTGAAGCAGACACACCCTCGCAGGCCAGAGCGCTGAGCGGGGCTGGGTTGCCCTCTGGTCTGGGGTCCGCACGTCCACCGCCCAGGGGCCCACGCGGCTGCCTGACCAGAGGCGGCTGGAAAGAGGGCGCCGATCTCCTGCCTCTGCTGCTCTCTGCCCGTGACCCACTTTCCCTTCTGTCTCCACCGCACAGACGCCACCCCTCCCCGGCCAGCGAGCCTCTCCCGGCGGTTCTTCTATTTTTCCCAGTCAGGAGGGAGTTTAGCTCACTGCCTGTCGGGCGGGGCGCCCCTGCTCCGGAGGCCCTGAAGGCAGGAGGACAGGAGCAGAGCCTGGAGAACTCCCTCCCTCCCTGGGTCCACACTGAGGGGACAGCTCAGGTCAGAGCCAGCCCAGGCCCCTCTCAGGCCCCCAGGCGTCCTCTCTGAGCCACTGCCCCACCCGCGGCCCTGCCCCAGGACCTGTGGGAGCAGCCTCAGGGGTGGACCCAGAGGACAGCAGAGCTGGGAGGCGGCCTCCCGGACGAACACAGGCTCTGGAACATCCCCACACCCAGTCCTCAGGGACCTGGGGCCCAGGGGCCAGGCAGCCCAGACACGGCCCCAGGCCCCAGGCCCACAGGCGGTGACACTGCTGCTGTCAGAGTCTCCCTGTGAAGTCACTTCTGCTGCGACAACCCACAGGGCTCATTCGTGAGCGTCTGGGCCACTCTGAGTGGGAAGAGCGATGTACCCCGAGTTAAAGCGATGGATGCGTGACGCCGCCCCAAACAGCCAGGAGCTGCCCCAGGGACAGCTCAGGAGGGGCCCAGGGACGGCTAGAGGCCCCGGATCCTGGTGTCCCCTCTAGTGTTTTTGGGGGGTGGGGAGGTCAGAACCGGGCCAATCGACGACCAGGACCAGCCAGGAGCCTGGGAGCCTAGGCCAGGCAGAGGCTCAGGCTGGAGGAGACCCTGCAGGATCAGGCCGGGGCTCACACTGGAGGAGACCCTGCAGGGACAGGCCGGGGCTCAGGCTGGACGAGACCCTGCAGGATCAGGCCGGGGCTCACACTGGACGAGACCCTGCAGGGACAGGCCGGGGCTCACACTGGACGAGACCCTGCAGGGACAGGCCGGGGCTCACACTGGACGAGACCCTGCAGGGACAGGCCGGGGCTCACACTGGACGAGACCCTGCAGGATCAGGCTGGGCTCACGCTGGACGAGACCCTGCAGGGACAGGCCGGGGCTCACACTGGACGAGACCCTGCAGGATCAGGCTGGGCTCACGCTGGACGAGACCCTGCAGGGACAGGCCGGGGCTCACGCTGGAGGAGACCCTGCAGGATCAGGCTGGGCTCACGCTGGACGAGACCCTGCAGGGACAGGCCGGGGCTCACGCTGGAGGAGACCCTGCAGGGACAGGCCGGGGCTCACACTGGACGAGACCCTGCAGGATCAGGCTGGGCTCACGCTGGACGAGACCCTGCAGGGACAGGCCGGGGCTCACGCTGGAGGAGACCCTGCAGGGACAGGCCGGGGCTCACGCTGGAGGAGACCCTGCAGGATCAGGCCGGGGCTCAGGCTGGAGGAGACCCTGCAGGGACAGGCCGGGGCTCACACCAGACGAGACCCTGCAGGATCAGGCCGGGGCTCAGGCTGGACGAGACCCTGCAGGTTCAGGCCGGGGCTCACACCAGACGAGACCCTGCAGGGACAGGCCGGGGCTCACACCAGACGAGACCCTGCAGGGACAGGCCGGGGCTCACACCAGACGAGACCCTGCAGGTTCAGGCCTGGGCTCACACCGGACGAGTCCCTGCAGGGACAGGGCGGTGCTCTTGGGTCAGCACAGCAGCTCCGTCCAGGCACCGGGCTCCCGTCCCCTACGCAGGGTGGCGGAGACACACTGTTCTGTTTATTTTGGGACTGAACACAGTGACGCGCCTTCTCCTGCTGGATGCCACATGCACGGAAGATGTCCGCGTGAAAAGCAGTCCTGAGGAGTGGGGGAGGGGGCCGAGGGGGGAGGGGAACACTGGGCCGGGGCCTCTGCTGGGAGCTGGCAGAGACACCGCCTGCCCACCCATTCAGCCACGTGCTGGGGACCGTGAGGATGGGCCTGGGCGGGCAGCTGTGCTGGGGGGCCGGGCATTCTAGGTGAGGAAGCATTGTCCAGGGGGTGGGCAGGTCCCAGGAAGAGCAGTGGAGTCCAAAACCTGAGCAGGGGAGGCGTCCGGCAGGGCGAGGCGCAGACAGCACTGGGAAACAGCCACGGAAGCACCACGCGGGGTCCCTCTGCACCGACCCCCGATGTCCTTCCCCTTGCACACTTGACCCAGCTGGGCCCCCACCGAGTCCCCACACCCAGGAAGTCCTGAGACCCTCCTGGGGCAGGAAGGCTCCCCTGGCGCAGAGGGACACAGGTAGGTCCAGGCTGTCCCAGGGACCCACCTCCTGTGCACCAGGGGCTGTCCCCCTCTTCCTGGTCAGTGTGCACTGCTGGCCAGGAAGGTCCTGCCACTCCTGAACCCGGCTCACGGGCTAAAGCTGCACACCGCTTCACTCATCATGTGCGTTTTATTTTTATTTTTTATCCTCACCTAAGGACATTTTTGCACTTATCTTCAGATAGAGCGGGAGGGAGAGAGGGAGGAAGAGAGGGAGGAAGAGAGAGAGAAACATCGATGTGAGAGAGACACATCGACTGGTTGCTACCCACACAACCCCAACTGGGATCGGGGACAAACTGCAACTGAGGTACATGCCCTTAGTGGGAACCGAACCCGGGACTCGCTGAGCCAAACCGGCCAGGGCTGTGTGTGTGCTTTTATGCCAGCAGAAAGCACTCAGGGACCGCGGTGCGGCATGAGGAGAAAGGGTGCCCGACACCCACTGGACAGCCGGGCTGGTGACTATTACCGACGCCACTCAGTCAGCCTAGCGGCTCAACAGTGCACCAGGCACACGGAGCCGGAAGACCCACTCAGTCTGCTCAGAGAGTCTGTTTCCGGGACCAGGGACGGGACTGGCGGCAGGGAAGGTGCTGATGGTCCCGACCTGGGCGCTAGGCCGTCAACAGGATGTCACAGCCACTGCAAATGCCGGCTCCGTCCCACGCCGACCTACTGCACCACCGAGCCCTGCATGGGCCCCAGTGAGCTCACCAACCAGCCCTCGGCTGTGGCTCCCGCACCTTACATGGCCCGGCCGGCCTGTTTCCTCGGCTCAGCAGGGCCTGCTGCCCACAGGAGTCTGCTCAGGTGGGCTCCCTCCAGCTCTCCCAGGCCACCCCCAGCACCCGGCCCACTCCCCACTCTTAAAACCCACCGGGGCTGGGGCGCCCAGCCGTGAAGAATCCGTGGCACATACCCTCGTGGCTTAGATACACTTTTGAAAGATGTGCTCTATTCAGTAAAACATTTTAAAAAGAGAAAAAGGGTCCGGCTGGTGTGGCTCAGTGGTTGAGTGTCGAGCCAGCACCAAGAGGTCGCCGGTTCAATTCCCGGTCAGGACACATGCCGAGGTTGTGGGCCCATCCCCAGTCGGGGGCACACAGGAGGCGGCCAGTGAATGTTCTCTCTCATCGATGTTTCCATCTCTCTCCCTCTCCCTTTCTCTTTCTAAAATCAATAAAGGAAAAAAAAAGTTTTTTTAAGAGGAGAAAGGACACGCACTTTCTGTGGTTATGACAGCCACACACCACCCCTTTCACAGTGACCAGGCTCATTTTTACTTCTGCTCAGTTTTCCCAGTCAAAATTGGTCTCATTAATGTCTAATGGGTACTTTTCCTCTCTCTGCAACATGGAACACCCCTGTACCCCTGCTCCCGCAGGGCCTTTGAGGCCCTGATGCCCATTTGACAACAAAATAAAACAAAGATCCAAAGGCCCTCATTTACACAAAGTTGGCAAGAATCTGGTCAAAACAGGGCCTCTGCTGACTCACGGGAGCCCGTCTGCGCCGGATCTGAGCAGACGCCCCGCCTCCGCAGCAGGGAGCATGCACTCAGCACACGGTCCTCGGTCCAGACCCAGCTCTCGGCGGGGAGCATGCGCCTTCCTGACTGTTCTCATCTCTGGCTTCGCAGCCGCACACAGGACTGGCCCCCACCCACCTGCCACCTGCCACCCGCCACCCGCCACCGACGGGCATCACTTTACTGTCTCCTGTGCCACAACATCCCGTGTCTCCCGCTCCAGGTCGAAGGTGAACTCGATGGCCCCGTTGTCCTTGGGTTTGCCCTTCAGCTTTCGGGGTCCTCGACCCATAGCCTCAGGGCAATGGTGGACTTCCTGCCATGGTCCTCCTCAGCCAGCTCCACCCTCACGCCTGTGTCCTCTGCGAAGAAGGCGTGGCTGAGCAGGTCCTTGATCTCGTACCTGGGGAGAGAGCAGCTGAAGAGCACACCTGCCGGGCCTGAGACCACCCAGCTCGCTCCAGAAAGCTCTGACTGCACCACACGCTGGACGGGCCCTGAGCTCCAGGGACACATGGCAGGTACAATCCCCAATTCCTGGGGGAAGAGAAAAAATGACTCCAGACACATCTCACTGCGTAGTGTTTACGAGCTTTTTCTCTAATTATAAAAAGAAAACATGCCCATCAGTGGTTGAGTGTGGACCCTGCACCAAGAGGTCACTGGTTCAATTGCCAGTCAGGGCACATGCCCAGGTTATGGGCCCGATGCCCAGTGAGGGGCGTGCAGGAGGTGGCCAATCAATGTTCTCTCTAATCGATGTTCCCATCTCTCTCTCCCTCTCCCTTCCTCTCTCTGTAAAATCAATAAAAGAAAAAAGAAAAAAAAAATTACAAAAAGAAGACATCCCCAATGTGAGAGACTCTGGGAGTCCAGCGACCAGCTAACACCGGGCTCTGCTGTACCAAAACGGGCCTGCTAGGGGCGCCGGGGAGCTCAGGCGTCGCAAAGATACCAGGCTCCAGGAAGACTGCACCAGGCCTGGAAGAGTCCATAAGCCCATGTTCAGGGGCTTTCTGGAAGCTCCTCAGGGCAGGGCAGGGCAGGGCAGGGCAGGTGCAGCTGTTGCCCTGGTAACCACTTTGTCCCCAAATCAGCATTACAAATGCCAGCTCCTGTCTCTGGCTGGAATGAATCCATGCACTACCCCAGGCATGGCTTCCTCCCAGGGTCAAATCTGCGGTCACCATGGGCTGCAACCCCCAGTAGCCCTGTGGACGGCCACCAGGCGCGGAAGAGGGACGCGGGGTGAGGCCACCCTCAAGGAGGCCAACACGTGCTGCGTGGCCCGGGGAGGGCCAAGGTCACCGCCCTGGGCTCTGCGGGGCCTGATCCAGGAAGGTTCTCACAGGGTCTGCCCTGCAGATTCTTTGACTCTGTAGGGTGTTCCTGTACTTTTCTATGACGGGGTACAGCTTACAATTTCCTAGTGTTTTTCCTTAAAGAACAAAACGTGATAACCTGCAGGGAATAGGAGAAAAAGCCCAGGGCAGGACGGGGCTGTCGCCGGAGAGGTGATGGCCATGGAAAAGGACAGTGATCAACGCTGGGGACAGTGCCTGGGCAGGCAGGGGCCGGAGGGCGCGCAGGGTGGAGGGAGAGGAGAGGGAATGGAAGGGTGCGTGGGGAGGGGGGAGGGAAAGAGGGACGAAGGGGGACACACAGCCCAGGCTCCTGGCCGACCAGCTGAGGAGGTGGGGCTGTTCTGGTGCCATCTCTGCCTGACTGTGATCACCTGCAGGGCCCGGGGGCGGGTCCGACCCAGGTGCAGGGAATATGCACTGGGGAGGTGGGGTGAGAGGGCGAGATGAGAGCCTTCGGGGAGCCCCGGCACTGGGGTGTCCTTCAAGCTGGGGGAGTGGACGGGTCCACCTGGGACAACACAGTAAAAGCAGGAAGGGGCCTGCTGCAGGCTGGGGGGGGGGGGCAAGCAGCAGCCAGCAGAGGGGAGAAGGAGCTCGGGGACCATCCCCAAAGTCAAGGCGCACGTTCCGGGACTTCCCAGCCAGGGTGCTGGCAGCTGGGTCGCCCTGGCATGAAGCGATCTGCCTGCCGAAGCTGTCTGCAGGCCAGCCAGGGGATCTCAGCAGGAGGAACACCCAGACCCAGGCCGCGGGAACGCACCTCTCCTCCTTGTTTTTGCAGATGCACTCCCCGATGATCTCCTTGATCTCTGGGTCCTGCACCTTCTCGAAGCTGGCCGGCTTGATGCCCTGCAGGCGAGGTGACAGTCACCCATGGAACTGGGCTCTGCAGGGGCTCTGGCTCAGCCCCACCCCCAACAACAGAAGGAAGTGCAGAGGCTTGGGGGTGGGGAGGGCTGCAGCTGTGCGGTGTGAACTTGGGGCGGACACTCGCCCACTTTGGTGCACGGAGGGGGCGGGGGGCAGGGCACCTGCCCGAGGCTGACCTCTGGGGCCACCCACAGGTCTTGGCGGCTGGAGGAGGACATGCCCCTCACAGGGCCAGGCTTCCTCACCACACCCTTGCTCAAGGCTGCTGAGGACAAGATCTGCAGTCACTGCTGCTGACCAAGGGCCACCAGAGACTCTGGTCCCTGCGGCCACTGCAGGGTTGCCTTCGGAGGCCTGTAACTGAGGTTCTGCAAACGACTGTGCTCGGTAGTCCCACCATTCAGTTCCATGGCCAGCAACCAGGCCAGTTAACTCTCAGGTAGGGGTGCCAGAGGGTGTTCGAGCACCCACACTGACCAGAGACCCAACGGGAGAGCCACCGCTTGGCCCCGGCCACGGTGTGGGGGCAGCAGAAGCGGCGGACAGAAGGGCTCCAGGGGAAGCAGCAGCCAGACACAGGGTTCACTGGTCCTGTGCTGGGAGAGGGGCGGCCCGAGGGACAGGTGGTTTCAAACACTGAAACACACTGAGGGCTCAACCGTCATGTTCTTCCTCCTGCAGCAAGACTCCACCTTCGAAGGCCTGTCCTGGTCTCTTTCTTCATGTCCGGACGGGAAGCATCCATTTCCCCACAAGCAGGGAGGGCAGACCAGGAAGTGTGGGACCCCAGCAACTCCCACGGCCCAAGGGAGGCCCCACTGTGCCCGCCAACCCCTGACCCCAGGACCCATGCCCATAACTGATGGGGGTCGTGTGTGTCCAACGCAGACACGGAACCCTGGGCATTAGGAGCGACTGAGGGGTTCCCCTCGGAGGTGAGATCCCTGTGCGTTCCCACAGAGGCCAACAGAAATAGAGGCTTAACTACGCCAGGAGGACGGGCCAGGGTCCCTGCCGGCAGGGTCTGAGGAACTCCAAGCCCAGCTACGTGCACACACGCGGTCATTTAAATCTCTGCAAAACGGGAGCCCCCACAGCCAGTGAAGAATGTCCCCAAAGAATAAGGCACTGCGCTGAACGGTCCATGTGTCTGGGCTCATTTGCACGGGGTTGGGGTAGCCGAACGCAGAGGGCGCGGTGACCCCGCCAGACCCTGGGTGAGGGCCACGTGCTGGAGGCTGGGTCGGCGTGGGGTGCCGTGAGTGAGCCGCCGGCCGGAGCACAAGGGTGTCAGCGAACAGAGGACACACTGGGGTCAGGAGACACGCTCCCTGTCTGGGCTCCTCAGGGAGGCAGGGCCTGATGTGCCTGGCTTGGCCCCAAAAAGTAGGACAACACGGACCCTCGGGACCCTGGCGATGCCTTGTTTCCGGGGCCTAAACGGGCAGTGGGGGTGTCAGGAGGACCAGGGTGGCCGAGGAGCATGTGGGGGCTCAGTCCCTGTGCCCCAGGCCAGAAACCAGAACGAGCATCTCCAGGCTGCTCCTCCCACACCCGGCCCGGCACCGAGGCCTGGCAGTGAAGCTCTGACCTCCTCAGGTCCGTCCACCCCCGAGGGCACTGCCCACAGCCCTCAGCTGCCAGCCCCACGGGGAGCTGCGCACCCTCTGCGGCTCTGACCCACACCCGCAGCACCTCCAGTCAGGGCCCCTCCTGCCTCGGGGCCTCAGCAGCACACAGGACGCACTGAGAGCAAACAGTGCCACCAACGCAGAACTCTGAACCAGAGAGCGACGAGAGCTGCCACCTTCAGGGGATCGGGGGAAGCCCAGAAAGGGCATGGTACCGGGGACGGCAAGAACCAGGCTCCTCGGCAGAAGCAATGAGGGTGCACCCAGGTCTGGGGAGACCGCCAAGTGCCTCAGGCACAGACAGAGATAAGACAAGGGCCCACAAGGGCCGCAGTCCATCCCCCGCCTGGACACACCCCGTGTTCCCTACCGAGCAGACTGGCCGCACAGGATGATCTGTCCGATTCAGTCCTGGGGACACACCAGGGACAGGACCTGGAACGGCCCAGAGGAGGGTCCAGGAGCAGGCAGCCGGGCCGGGACAGAACCACACCCCCGGCGCCGTCAGGGCTGCCTGGCTGCGGCCGTCCTCGTGCTCCCGTCTGGGAAGGGCCGGCCCGCCTCACAGGCGCTGGGACGTCACGGGGACGCAGCGGTGGGCACTCACACAGGTGACCTTGCGGTAGATCTGGGCGGCGTTCTGGCACTCCGCGTAGGGGTACTCCGAGGTGGCCATTTCCAGCATGCACATCCCGAAGGCGTAGACGTCCACCGACTCGGCGTAGTGCTCCTCGTACATCTCGGGCGCCATGAACTCTGGGGTGCCTGGTCGGGCCAGAGGTGCAGGGTCAGGGGCACTGGCCCGGGGCTCCCACAGCCCAGAGCCTCTGGTCCTGGCGTCCTGATTCAAAAAGGAACGTGCTGCAGACGAAGTTCCCGAAAATCCGCCCTGGACCCTGCTGATCTGGGTGGGATCAGCCCACAGAGCCGGGAGGCTCTTCCTTCCCAGGAACAGGGTCGGCGTCTGAGACGCTGCCGGTGTCTCTCGTCAAGGGGGAACACAGAAGCTCACCCTCCGTCCACAGGCCAGGGGACCCAAAACTGACAAAACCTGTGGTCACCACAGAGCTGCCCGAATTGTGAAAACCCAGAAAAGCCCCAAATCGGCCCAGACAGGCACACCGCACGCCGCACAGACGCGCTGGGGGCGGCACAGGTGCCATTCACCTGGCAGGTGCCAGGCGGGCGCCAAGGTAGAGACGGCTCGTGCATGCTAAGCGCAAAAGCTGTTAAAATAACGTTCACTGAGCAAAATACACAAAATATACAACGTGTGTGCACACTGACCCCACCTGCATAAACCCAAGCACAGACCGGAAGGACTCATCTGGCAGGTGGGCTGACAGCGAATTTCCCTTTAGTTACACTGCTCTGGGTTGTTAATTTTTTCTGCACAAACGTCTACTTGAAGAATCACATGATCCTTTTACGAAAAAAGGTCGGACCCAGCGCCTGCCGAGCTAGACGCAAAGGAGCACCCCCTCGGTGAGGCTGCAGGACCTCCCGCCGACGGTTCCGGAATGCCGGCTTCACAAAGCAGATGCAAACCGCCACCAACCAACCGCTGTGTCAAAACGTACCCGGAGGGGTGGGGGTCTCTGAAATGTGTATATACCGGGCGGCTCAGTTGGTCGAGCGTCATCCCACACACCCAAAGGTTGCAGGTTCAGTCCCTGGTTTAGGCTTGTACAGGAGGCAACCGATCGATGTTTCTCTCTCACGTTAATGTTTCTCTCTACCCCTTTCTCTCTCAAATCAATGGAAACGTGTCCTCAGGTGAGGATTTACAAAAGGTTCACACGCTGCCTCTGGGCTGCCTTCAAGCCTGCAGCACACGCCCCGAACCCTAAAGAGCAGGCCGCAGCCCCTCCAGCACTCTCTTCGCAAAGCAGGGCGAGCCCACCGCCTGAGGCCTGCGCTCCGTGGACAAAGAGCACCCCTGGGGCACCAGGACCCCGCTCGGGCCACACACATACCAGGCCTGTCCCCATCCTCCCTGCAGCCACGGCCCAGGGTCCCACCCGGAAAGGCTGCAGAGCAGCTTCTCGGAGGAAAAGAAAAGCAGAAGCAAAAAGAACCAGCAAACCAGCCTCCACACGGATGCCCCAGACCCTGGCCACCCAAACACTTGCTCACTCAGGCCCCAAATACCTCGGGGGCTGCTTCTGTGGGCCCCACATCCTGGGGGACACCTCCCCACGCGCTAAGGCCAGCTCCAGGGTCAACAGCCCGAGTCCCCGAATCCCTGTGCTGTTCGGGCCTCCTTCCTGCTCCTGAGAGCCCACAGCCCCACGGGCAGCAGCCAGCCCCCCGCCCCGACCCTCAGCCAGGGCCCCACGTGGCCCAGGCCGGGCCAGGGCCTGGCTGAGGGGTGAGGGGCTGGGGGTGCCACGGCCTCAGAGAACTGAGCTTACCTATCACGCTCTTGGCAAAGGACACTCTCTTGAGGGTGGCCAGGCCCAGGTCACCAATCTTGACGGAGCCAGTGGGCCCGGTGATGAAGATGTTGTCGCACTTGAGGTCCCGGTGGATGATGGGGGGAGTCCGGGTGTGCAGGAACAGCAGCCCCTTCAGGATCTGCCGGCACCAGCTCCGCAGCACCTTGGGCTTCATCACCTTGAAGCGCTTCAGGTACCTGCGGCGGGAGCACGGCTCGCTGGCTGCCTGTGCGTGGAGGGCTCCCCACCGCCGTGGGCCCGCACTGGTCCCCCAGACAGAGTGCCCCATGAGAGAGGGGTGCTGCCCGAGCACCGGGCAGAACCGCCCAGCCATGGGCCCTGCACCCCGGGCCAAGCCCACTCTGAGGCCCTGTCCGGCCAGGCAGGCGACCCGCTCACGTCTTCAGGGTCCCGGAGGTCATCAGCTCGGTCACCAGCACGATGCAGCGCTTGCCCTTGGCGCTGGACTCCCAGAAGTCATAGAAGCACACGATGTAGGGGTGCTGCAGGCCCTTGAGCATCTCGGCCTCCTCCTTGAACTGCTGCCGCTCCAGCTTGGTGAGCTTCCCGTCCTGGAGAGACACACACAGCTGAGAGGCGCAGGCACGGCCTTCCACGGAGCCTGGGCATCCCTGGCGGCCGCGGGTGCTCCCGCACCTCCGCTGGCTCGGGGAGCATCGTGGAGGGGGAGGACCCCTGAGGACCCCACCCTGCACAGGGAGCAGCTCATCAGAAAGATTTCTTGCCCTGGTCCAGCCGGTGTGGCTCAGTGGTGGAGCATCAACCCTGCACCAAGAGGTTGCTGGTTCGATTCCTGGTCAGGGCACATGCCCAGGTTGTGGGCCCATCCCCAGTGGGGGGCGAGCAGGAGGCGGCCAGTGGATGTTCTCTCTCATGGATGTTTCTATCTCTCTCACCCTCTCCCTTTCTCTCTAAAATCAATAAAGAAAAATAAAATATTTACAACGTTGACTTTTACCCAAACCTAGGCGGCCCATCGATGTTCTCTCTCATCGATGTTTCCATCTCTCCCTCTCCCTTCCTCTCTCTCTAAAATCAATAAAGAAATTAAAAAAAAAAAAAAAGATCTCTGGCCCGGGCCTGTGTGGCTCAGGTGGCTGCAGCGTTGTCCCGTGCACCGAGGGTCACATGCTGGCCTCCCAGGTCAGGGCACACAGCCAGGTGGCAGGTTGATCCCCCGTCAGGGTGTTTACAGAGGCAACCGATCAATGTTTGTTTCTCTCTCTCTCCCTCCCTCTTTCTAGACTCAAGAAAAAACACATCCTCGTGGGGATTAAAAAGAAAAGGGGAAAAGGTCTCCCGACGCCAGAGCGACCTGGAAACCTGTGGCCAACGCACTTCCTGGCGACACACCTGCTGGGCACCTGCCCGAGGACGGTTAAAGGAAAAAACCGGCAGTGGCTGCAGCAACGACAACCAGAACGCTGGGGGAGGTCGGAGCCCAGGGCCGAGCAGGAAGACCAGGGCGCCAGCCCAGCCCACGTCAGGGCGGGGAGAGGCACACGTGCTTCCAGGCCTGGCCATCTGCGCCGGCACCCTCGGCGTGTCCGACCCGGAGGCTGACCCGGCCCGCTCCTGCCACCCCAGCCCCCGCCTCCAAGCCCGTGTGGCCTTCTCCCCATCCTGAGCACGTGACCCCAGGGTCACCTCCGACCCGGAGCAGCGGGCCCACAGAGCCCAGGCAGCACGCCGGGCCCCCACCAGGACCCCAGGGAAACAGAAACAGCTGAGTGTGGGACGGGGAGCTGGGAGGAGCTGCAAGAAGACACAGAGGTGCACCTGGACGGCCGGAGGGAGAGGCCAGAGCTGAAAGGAAACGGGCCAGGGCTCCTCGGGTCCTTTCAAAAGACCCCAGAGGACATCAGGCCAGATCCCACCCAGTCACGGGCGCCCTGGGATCATGGCGGGGTCCTGTGGTCACGGGGTTCTACCCCCAGTGGCGCTGTACCCTCTCAGGCGCTCTTCCCCCGCCAGGCCCGGCCCACACTCCCTCCGCCTCTCGGCACACACGTGGGACCCGCCGCAGGGTCAGCGGCAGAGCAAGGGGTACCCCGAGAGGGCCCGGGCACCTCAGCAGCGCCCACCATGTCCTCACAGGGCCAGGAGGCTGACACGCGTAAATAAGATCACGCTCCTGCTTTTATTAAAGAGGGGCAATCACAAGCTCTTGCAAATCAAACCTCAACGTGTTTTCTTTGTTTGTTTGTTTTTTAATCCTCACCTGAGCATATTTTACTATTTATCATCAGATAGAGTAGGAGGGGGAGAGAGAGAGAAACATTGATGTGAGAGGGACACATCGACTGGCTGCTTCCCACACGACCCCAACCAGGGCCAGGGATGAACCTGGAATCGAACCCACAACTCTTTGGTCCACGGGCCGACGCTCTAATTGCTGATCCACACTGGCCAGGACAAAGCTTAACATTTTACAAATAAGATATTTTGTAATCCAATGAAACATTAGGTACAAATGTTTACTCTAGATAATAACATAGAAACATGGGCGACTCATCAAATAGTTAAGAAAATAAGTCAAGCCACAGACTGGGAGAAACTTGCCGACCGGTATGTGATTGGGCCTCGGATGCAGACGGCGGAGGAAGTCCTGTGCGCAGTGGTAACAGCGCAGGACCAGACCTACGTTGCCAAGGGAGATGCAGGGATCCCCAAGAAGCCTGTGAAACGGTGCTGGGCCTCGCGAGTCCTCAGGAAGCCGCAGGTCCGATCACGCCCACCAGCAGGGCAAAGGAAAGGTCCTTCCAGCTGCTGGGCCGGGCTGGGCGGAGCCTCTGGCCCAAGGCTGCTGGAAGTGCAGGAGGCACCTGCTCTAGCCCCCATCACCCCCGCCGGGTACCCACCCAAGACAAAGAATCAGGCAGCCACAGAAGGCAGGTGCATGGGGTTCAGAGTGGCTCCAATCACGACAGCCCAAACTCCAGAAACCGCAGAATCAACCGTAACAGTGCTTGCCTCTGGGCGGGGAGCTGCCGGTAAGGGGCGGATGCACCCACAGGTACACCTGCCTGTCCACTTGAGATGTGTTTTAGCCCGGCCAGTGTGGCTCAGTGGTTGAGCATCGATCCATGCACTAGGAGGCCGCCGGTTTGATTCCCGGTCAGGGCACGTGCCCAGGTTGTGGGCCCGATCCCCAGTAGGGGGCATGCAGGAGGTGGCCCATCCATGTTCTCTCTCATCCATGTTTCTCTCCCTAAAATCAATAAAGGCAAATAAATTTTTTTTAAAAGATGTGTTTTATTATATGTCCACTGCTGCTGGGTGTCTCCAACGTCAAAAATCAAGTGGAAACATCCGAAAAGCAAATTGAGAAACATGAGCGAAACCTCAGACATGGAGACCCAGGCGAAAACCCTGACAACAGGTAACTAGAGCCCAGGAGACCAGAGGGACCAGGAAGGAGCGTTTTCCTGAGCTGAGCAGACTATTTGGAACAACAGCATGTGCCCGAGCCAGCTCAGACTGAATGAAACCTGATCACCTCCGGCCCAGCGCCCCTGAAGCTCAGGCTCCAGGGACTGACAGCGAGCCCAGCAGGCCGGGGTTTTTCATTGGGGGGTCGCATTGCAATCAAGGACATAGCCAATGAGGCAGCCTTCTCAGTGCCGACTCGGACCTGGAACGCTACGCCCAGCCAAAGGATGTGGAACCCGGGCCCAGGACTGATGCGCAGAGGCGACTCTGGGCACCCGGGCGCACGGCCACTGGAAGGAGCCTTTCCACAGACACAACGCACCCGGCCGCACCTGAGGAGCCCAGCGCAGGAAGACCCCCGGCGCCTCCGCGCGGGCCGCTGGACAGTGACACCTCTGTCCCACTCCCTCCCAAAGGTCTGCTCACTGACTCCACAGGAAGCTCGGAAACATGCTTCCACGAGACCTTGTCTCTGCGGTGTCCCAACACCAAGTGAAAGGTCTTCGTGTCCTTTCAGAGCAAAAGACTGAGGTCGCAGCAGGGAGGGGCGGGAGGGCCCAGTGTGCCAAGGTCTTGCTCTGGGACAGACCCAGCAGGCGGAGACAGAGATGTCCTATGACAGAGACGTCAGACCCTGAATGGTGCCTCTTGGATGGACGGGGGCGGGGCTGGAGACTGGAGGGAACAGACCTTATTTTGCTCCTAAGCTGCCAGGCTATTTTTAACTAAACTTCACACTGCTTCATCATTCGAAAGGTCAGTGGTGTGTCCTCAGAGCGCTGCCCAGTGTCCCCTCGCGGAGCTGGCCCCAGTCCTTGCCAGAGTTTGTTGGGGGCTGGTCGGCACCAGGAGAGCAGTAGCCCCGTCAGCAGCTGGCCACTGTCACTGCTGGTGGGCAGGTTTGCTACCTGACCTGCTGGGCCGGCTGTGCTCACAAGCCCGGCGGGAGGGAAGCCCTGATCCTGCAGGACCCTGAATTCTGCCAGGGTTGTTCCTACACCGCAGCGAGTGTGGGCTCTGCTGCTCACAGGGCCACACTAGGGGATGTCCGTGCCCCAGACAGGGTGGGCAGCTCACCTAGACCCGCCTCCCTGCCAAGCTTGGGTGCCACCTGGACTAGCAGCTCCCATCCCCTGAAGACAGTGAGAGCCAATCAGGTCCCAGAGGACGACACATTCTGGGCTACACCGGTCTGGTCCCTACAGGAGGAAGTCCAGCCAGGTGCAAATGTCACCCGGTCCCAGACATCACCCTCAGAGCATAGGCAGCGAGGTGGGGCCAAGGTGCTCAGAGGACAACCCTGGATGTAAGGGCGTCTCCCACATGACCAGGAGTCACCAGCGCTGCTCCGACCGCCCACCCACGAGGGCGGGAGGCCTCGGATCCAGAAGGCCACCCTCCTGCCCTCAGTGGGCTCTGCAGCCGTCTGCTCTCAGCAGAGCCCAAGCAGCCCCATGAGGACAGAACTACCCGGGACCCCAAGTCCAGCCAGGGGAAGGGGGATCCACCCACAAGGCAGAAGGACAATAAGCGGCTGGAAGGAGAGGGCCCAGAATTCACACCGAGTTGGAGTGACGACCTGGCCTGGGACCTCTCTCCGGCCCCGTTAGGTCACGAGCCGAAACCAGAAAAGCTTCAGGAAACCTGTCAGCATATGGGATACTTTCTCCCAGGCTGTGGGAACGTCTCCTCTGGCCCAGGGGTGTCCCCGGCTGGTGCCGCCCACCTGTCCCGTCACTGTTTTGAGGGGTGGTGTAATTGCATGTTGATTGTTTTCTTGGCTACTGTCTACTCCCCCTGAGGTTATCCACAGCCACACCTGCAACTCCGAGCCTGAGACCATCTGGCACCTGAGTTGGGCCCGTGGAGCAGGGGTCAGGAGGGACAGAGCTGTGCCTTCTCCGCCGGGCCACCCCGTCCCCAGGGCCTTGTTCCTGGGCTGACCCCGTCCAGGGCGTCCCTGTCCCTGGAGCTGCACCTCCTGAGCTGAAGGAGTACCTGGAGCCCCGCCCTGGCTGATTCCCTGGACCGCTGACATATGCAGGTGCGAGGCTGGGGAGCAGGCCGAGTGTGCTGTAGGCCCACACGGGGCCAGCACCACAGGCCCCGCAGCCGGCTG